AAATGTCATTTCATTGTAAATGTTAAAAATCCTTTATTCACTCACCCCACGCTTAATTTTGGAAGGACATGAGGGTGAGTAATTAATGACAGAATTTTCATTTTTGGGTGAACTATCCCTTTAATGAATATGTCTAGAAAAACAGACAGATGTCCAGCCTGGCTCTCAAATCAACAAAACAGCTCCTCCCACAGGCGGCCAGCGGTTAAGGTCCACATGGCAGCAGAGCAGCTATTTACATCGTACTCCAAACGCTTCAGCTTCTGCAGGACTTTATTTAGCCAAACACTTCCTGTTTGCAATTTCACCCACACCCCCCACCAACAACACTGCCACTAAAGTTTGCTTACGCTCCACGTGCGCCGAGAAATTTCCCAATACAGCCAGCTAATTACACGTCAGGTCAGTGACCTAAATAGAAGCTTTTCCTGCACGTCTAGCACTAAGAGGGGTTAACACGAGTCTAATGCTGTTGTTTTGACTCCAAGCTCAAACTTGCTGTGGATTTGGAAATTCTGGTTAAACAGGTATTGAGAAAAATACAAACAAATACCACAGATGGTGTGATCAGCAAATTATGAAAGACTGGATGCAGACTTGCAGAGTGCAGTGTACTAGCATGTTGAAAATTATTTTGACCTGTACAAGTCAGTAACAAGTAATTCTGGTTGGTCACAACTTACAAATGGATCACATCATACAAGGGGGAAAAAATAAAAAATACACACTGACGAGCATACAGTCAAGCAGAAACCTTGTATCTCCATATTTTGGCATTTTTATTTTTTATTATTTTAATTTTTTCATAAATAAATGCTATTGGTCACTCTATGTCTGTCTGCTGGTTTTATAAATATTTAACCAAATAAAAATATTAAAAAGTGCTTGTGTCTTGTATGAACCAGTTGTTTAAATAATTACAGCATTTGCTTTACTCAAAAACAATATATGTCTATAAAGGCTAATGTTTCATGTATTTGAAGAATGGAGAAGAGTGTCTAAGTCTAGCATTAACTAGGTAGTCATACACAATACGGTCTTACACACAGACCGATCGTTCTGCTTCAAAGGACCTCAGTATAATGTCAGGAGCCAAGGGTATTAATTTTGTGTTGCCTGTATATGATTTTTTTTTTTTTTTTTTTTGGCTCTCAAGTGCCGGCAGCTGTTGTTATGTATCACCAAAGTCCACGGTTTCAGCTAAAATTTTTCTTTATTGTTCTACTCAAAAAAAAAAGTCAAATGTATTAAACAACAGGAAAAACACTATAGCTACAATAAAGTATGTAACGTGTAAGCTGATGAAAACAATGTGATGCACGTATTGCCTCAGATGCAGCCGTTCTAATGATGGACAAAATGCGTATCTCCGACATGCACTGGTCAAAAACCTCATAACCCCATTTAAGCCTGCTTGTGGTAAAATGGTATTGCATTTTATGTATCACCAAAGTCCACGGTTTCAGCTAAAATTTTTCTTTATTGTTCTACTCAAAAAAAAAGTCAAATGTATTAAACAACAGGAAAAACACTATAGCTACAATAAAGTATGTAACGTGTAAGCTGATGAAAACAATGTGATGCACGTATTGCCTCAGATGCAGCCGTTCTAATGATGGACAAAATGCGTATCTCCGACATGCACTGGTCAAAAACCTCATAACCCCATTTAAGCCTGCTTGTGGTAAAATGGTATTGATACTGAGAATATGTAAAGCCACAAAACCAACTTTGATGACACAGTGTTTAATTATTTCGAAACTACAGGGTGTTTCTCATTTCCTAAAAAGTAGCAGGTTTTAACAAACAAGGCTTCTGCACGACAGCTACGATATGCAGCTCATGGTTATAATGCTTTGTAATAGTGACTTATTAATTTATTAAATAATATAAAGTAATTTTATAAGACTTTTTAATTCAACTCCATTTTAATGATACTGAATTAAAAAAATATATATATATTTTGGCTTATATTTTAGGTTGTTTATTTTTCCTTTCAGCCGAAAACGCCATTTTTGGCCAAATAATTTTCAGCGGCTGAAATTTCCGCGCATCCAAGTTATAATCTGTCAATGCTTCATTTTAAGAGCATGTTCGTGTACAAGTTTGGTACTCTGTTGGGTCACCAACTGCTGTCCAACATAAACTCTGGATCTGATAGCAAAACCAATTGAGAACCATGGACCTAAACCACGAGTCAAGTGACAAGTGTCTTTGGACAAACATACTGTATACAGTTGAGAAAAACAGTATTTACATAAAGATTATATGAAGGATAAAGGTGCATTAGCAAAAGTTTGACGGCAAACAAGTTCTACTGTCTGCTATCAACAGGGTAGTGATGTATAAAGCTTACAAAAAAAGTCACTTTCAAACCAGTGTCATTTAGTGTTAATATACTAACATAGTACTTAAAAATATTTTCAATTAGCTTTTATTTTTATTTCTTTTTCAGCTGGCATTTTAATGCAAGTTTCAATATTTTTATGTGATTGCCATTTTTTTTTTTTTATAGTTCTATTTAGCTTTCATTTGTTTTATTGCAGTTTAAGAATTTAAGTAGTTAAATTTAACTTAAACTTAAATGAAAACGTTGCCTTGGCAACTGACTGACTAACATGTTCATTTTTCTTTCAATATTTATTGTTTCTTTTATTTTACGGGTTTTTTTTTTTTATAATTTAAGTTTCAATAAACAATAACACTGTTTCAACCAAGCAGCCTTCTGTTGGTCAACAGAAAGTTGGTGAACCTGTTGTGAAGTATGAATGAGGAAATCTTTTCCAATCATGTGGATTCCCTTTTAAAACACCGGGATTTCGCCCATGAAAAATTGCAAAGCAGTGCTAAACGTATTAATTTAGAATCACTATCAGCTCTCAGAACAGTCAAGCTAATGCAACCAGCTTGTAAACAGAGCGAGGCGCTCCAACAGCACTTAAAGCTTATAAGGGCCCCGGATTATCCAAATTACTCACAACTCTCTCAGCTCAGCCCAAAGGGGACGGAGAGACCCCCAGCTTAACCAAAGCCATGGGAGAGCCAGACAGACCCAACTTTCTTAGCTCCAGATTAGCCTGTCTATCAGTCTAACCGAACATGATCTTAAAACAAATGAACAGGACCTTAATTTCTCCGGGTACCACAATGATCCCCTACCGAGAGGCAGTTTACTCTTAACTCAAGAAATGATCCATCACTGGGATGTGACTAACTGTTTGCAGTTGCCATGGATCCTCTGCAGTCCGAAAACATGTGCCGCGTTTCCATAGAGACGGAGCACATAACAGGATGCAGGACACACACGTTTGGGAAACAGAACCTTCGCTGTCATAAACACACGCTCGGCCCGATCCCTCCGAAGAAATGCGGTCTGGAAAAAGATGTAGTATGAGGCATAAACACAAACCGCAAACACAAGCCATGTGGACCCCGGCAGCATCATTAGATCATCCTTTATATAACAGGCGAATATGCCATGGTGACATCACTGAATAACTCCACTCCATCTGTTAAAGCGCTGAGGTCATTCAGCAGGACAGAGCGGTGAAAATAACAATCGCACCGACACAAACGCGCTCGCCCGACCAACTCCGATTCCCATTCGGAAACCTTCGCACGGGTATCAAGTAACAGTTCTAATGATTTACTGCTTAATTTTTCTGTATGTGCAAAGATGTTGCAAGGTCTGCTCACTCCCTCGCTAATTTCTGGATTTGGAAACTACAGCGATCTATCACGGAAAACAAAGTGGGGACATTTAATCAAGCTGTCTGGTTTTGGCCGAAGCTATGCTCTTAGCTTAAGACATCAAAAACTAATTTAAGAGTTTAAACCTTCTGCCCCTTAAACTGAAAAACTTCAAATCTGCGCTCCACAGGATGTGCTACAAAAGAAACCTAGAATCATATTGGGTCAGATGCCGTAAAATTGAGTCAGAGCTCCAAAAATTACATGCAATATCCATACAATGTATGCAATATATAAGTCATGCATTAGTTTTGTGTAA